GGTCTAGGTTGGACATTAGGAAAAAGTTCCTAACTGTCAGGGTGGTTAAACACTGGAATAAATTGCCTAGGTAGGTTGTGGAATCTCCATCTCTGGAGATATTTAAGAGTAGGTTAGATAAATGTCTATCAGGGATGGTCTAGACAGTATTTGGTCCTGCCATGCGGGCAGGGGACTGGACTCGATGACCTCTCGAGGTCCCTTCCAGTCCTAGAATCTATGAATCTATGAATAAATAAGGAACAAGAAAAAAAAACTCATAATACACACTTGAAATCTTCCAACAAAACCACAGAAGACCAAACTTGGTGTTGCTTTCTGATGTATAAATGAATAAGACAGGTGAAACACCCCCACTCTCCCATCCACACATTTTTTCTTAGGGCAGTTCACCTTTTTTTTTTTAAATAATAGTAAGAAAACTGCAGTTTAACTTACCAACAGAGGATTGTACGATCCATAAACACCAAAAGTATCCTCATTTCGCTGATACAGAGATCGTGACATTAGTCTTTCCAGCATGGATATATTTAATCCATAAACCATTGCAAGTGTAGATTTTATTACTGGTCCTAACTGCATTGGATCTCCAGCAAGCACTATCTGCAGAAGCAGTAAAAACCCTCTTCTGTATTAGAATTGACACAAAGTTAGATGAATACTTTTTTTTTTTAAACAGTTAAAAAAAATCAATTGCTGTTACAATACTGTAGACATTCTTTCTCAAATGTCTAACACTATTCACTGGGTGGAGGGAAGGTGCAAAGTAATGATTAACTTGATGGCTGACTTTATTGTATAAATCTACAAGGTTTTTATTCTTTTAAAGAAAAAATATGATACAACATAGTTATTTGCACCTGAAAAAAAATGGTCACCCACCTTTTTCATAACTGTTGTTTGAGATGTGTTGCTCATTTCCATTCCATTCTAGATGTGCACGCGCCCATGTACATGGTCGTTGGAGAGTTTTGCTTTAGCGGTATCTGTAGGGCCAGCTGTGGCACCCCCTTGAGTGCCATGCTCAGGCGTCGGTATATCAGGTGCTGCCGGCCCTACGGCCTCTCTGTTCCTTCTTGCCGGCAACTCCAACAGAGGGGCAGGAGGGTGGGTAATGGAATGGACACGAGCAACACATCTCTAAGAACAGTTACGAAAAAGGTGGGTAACTGTTTTTTCTTCTTCTAGTGCTTGCTCATGTCGATTCCATTCTAGATGACTCACAAGCAGTATCAATGGAGATGGGTTCAGAGTTCATGGTCTTGCATCTTGCAGCACTGCTCTGCCAAAGCCAGTGTCATCTCGAGCTTGCTGGGTAAGCACAAAATGAGACGTGAACGTATGGACAGACAACCAGGTAGCGACCCTACAGATTTCTTGGATTGCTACCTGTGCCAGGAAAGCCACTGACGACGCTTGTGTCCTAGTCGAGTATGCCATCATGATCACTGGTGGAGGCACTTTTGCCAGCTCATAGCAGTAGCGGATGTTGGCTGTGGTCCAGGATGAAATCCTCTGAGCAGACACTGGGCGACCTTTCATTCTGTCTGCCACTGCAACGAACAACTGCGTTGACTTATGGAACAGTCTTGTTCTAGCTATATAGAAGGCCAGTGCCCTCCAGACGTCCAGGATGTGTAGTCTGCTCTCATCTGATGCATGAGGCTTTGGAAAGAAGGGTATAGCCCTGAGTTATGATCTCCAGCATCCAGCGGTCCAAGGTGACCCACACCCCGGCCGAATGGTAGGGACAAAGACAAAGGAAAGGACAGGGTGTATCTGGGGAATTGACCGGGGTGTTGCTCTGGAGTGCACCTTCAAAATGAGTGCTTCTGGCCTGCAGGATGCTTCGCTGGGCCGGGCTGTGCGGGTGAGTGGCAGGAGAAAGGGCGGAGATGATAAAAACTTGTGTCTCTATCCCTTCTCCTAGCAGACCCTGACGAGGCTGCCAAGGCCTGGGCTGCGGGGGGTGGCAAGAACTGCTTCCATACAAACTGCAGTGTATGCATGCCCAGCGAGTGAAGGGTGGCCCGAGTGTCCTTCAACCCATGCAGCCTTGCATTAGTTTGTTCAGAGAAGAGACCATTCCATTGAATGGGCAGTCCTGGATCGAGGTCTGCATCTTGTGGGAAGAGGCAGTGCTCTAAAGCCAGGAGCTGCGCCTCATAACCGCCATCGTTGCGACCAGTCTAGCCACCAGGCCTGCCGCATCCCACGCCATTTGGAGAGAGCACCTAACCACTATGGTGCCTTCCTCCACCAGGGTGCCGAATTCTTAGCCAAACTCTGCAAGAGGGACTCTTTGAACTCATGGAGGGAGTCCCATAAAGTAAAATTGTATCTACCCAAGAGGACCTGATGGTTCGCCACCCGGAACTGAAGGCTTGCAGTGGAATAAGTTTTTCTCCCCAAAAGGTCGTCTTTTGGCCTCTTTATTTTTGGGAGTTGAGCTGTTGTCCCCTTGCTTGTCTTTTTTGTTGGCTGCAGAGCCAACCAGTGAGCCCGGAGGTGGGTGAGTATAAAGATACTCAAACACTCTGGCCAAGACAAAGTACTTCTTTTTGGCCCTTTTGGAGGTGGGAGGGATGGAAGATGGGGTTTGCCAGAGGGCCATGGCAATTTTGAGGACCTCCATCATGCCCTGATAGTGCAATATGGGCCAGGGTAGAGGCTGAGAAGATGTTGAACAAGGTGTCTGCCTGCTCAGCCATCTCTTCCACCTCTAGGCCTAAGTTCTCAGCCATCCGTCGAAGCAGGGCCTGGAGTTCTTTAAAGTTGTCAGGCGGGTCCTCAAGTATCCCGCGACCGCCTGGTCCAGAGATAAGATGACAACTGTACCACTAGGGGAGATTTAGGGATGGGTGCAGCCTCCTCTACCCCAACCTCTGAGTACGACTCATGCACTGAGTCCAGTGCTGTCGGTACTGCCAACTGTTGCTCTGAGGCAGTGGCAGATGACTGGTGCAAAGGGGGCATCGTCATGACTGGCATGCCCCACGCACTCCAATAAGGCTATTGCGCTGGCCACTGGCTGTGCTGCCAAGGTGGCGCCGTCGATGTTGAGACAGCCTCAGGAGCCCAATCGCGCTGGTGGATTCTGGTTGAACTGCCCTTCTGTGCCGGAGGAGTCCCCTTCTGGTGACCACTGTGGGCCATCTACGTCTGCGTGCCTGCTGACTATCGCTGGAGACCAGTGCCTGAAGTGAGAGTATTGGTGTCGGTATCGAGGGGACCGGAGTTGTGACAGGGAGCACTCCCATGGGGCTGGCGACTGAGATCTGCGCCAAGAGGACGACTGGCGGGAAGACGAACGGTGCCGGCAATACGGAGATCAGTGCCTCCCCTTAGGCAATCCACGTTGAGATGGCGGGGATCGCGATTGTGGTGCCGGAGACAGAGGGCGAACCCCAGAGGATCTGAGCTGCGACTCCGGAGATCTGTGACATGGAGGAGAGCACTGCCTTGTCTCAGGGGATTGGTGGTGCTCCATTGCCCCCTGAAGGGTCTTAGCGGATGGCTTGCCCTCGTGGGGAGCATTTGCCATTTCCTGCGGTGATGGTGAAGGCATTTGCTATCTCAGTGCCAGGGGAGGTTGGGAAGATGTTGATGCTGCCACGAGTTTGGGTCCCCTACCACTCCCAGGAGTGGGTGATGGATCCTTTAAGGGGTAAGTTCAGTGCTGGGGGTACGCTGCGCACCGAGGACGAGGTACTAGGTGAGTCTTGGCGGGACGGCTCAGAAGCCGTATCCCGCTTTTTCTGAGTCCTGTGTCAAAAATTTTTACAAATATGACACTTGTCCTTCACATGTGATTCCCCCAAGCACTTGAGGCAGCTGCTGTGGAGGTCACTTACAAGGATAGGCCTGTTACAGTCCGCGCAGGGCTTAAACCCCGGAGACCGGGGCGTGCCCTGCCTGGGGCGAAGTCCCCACTGGGACTCTAACTTCTAACAACTACTTAACACTAACTTCTATAACAAACTATTTACAAGGCCCTAAAGCTCAGTCAGAAGAGATGAAACTGCTAGCCCTTGCTGTGCGAGGAAAGGTGCTCCGACTAACCACCATGGACGGTAAGAAGGAACTGAGAGGGCATAGGACCAGCGGTGCCTGAAATACCGATGCATGAGCGTGGCACTCAAGGGGGCACCAGAGCTGGCCATATGGATACTGCTAAGGCAAAATCTCCGACGACCACGCACGTGGGCACGCGCATACTTAGAATGGAATCACCATGAGCAAGCACTCTAAGAACAAATATGTTTTAGCAAGATAGTATTTATTATGAAAAGTACTCAAAACTATTACTTAAGAGTAGAAAATGCTGAAAATTAGAGCATATGTTTAAAACTTAAGAACTTCAAATTAAGTGGCAACATGTATTTACAACATAATACAATACAATACACTATTAACAAGCTCTAATACAAGTTCCCAGAACTGCACGATCATTTCCTGGAAATAGCAACTTATCCTATCACGAGCCATGAAGTGATCACATTAGAAATACGAGGTTGTTACCGGAAGTGAAAAAAGCAAGCCTAAAACCCTTTTTAAAAACATACATACACTAAGATACATACCTGTCCATTAACTTCTGAAATCAACCCAAGTGGAATCAAGCATTCTGGTTCACTTGCCTGTCCTGCTTCATCCACAAATACATGTGTGAAATGCCCAAGCCTAGAGTTAAATAAAATCACTTCAGACAGCTGTTTTAGGGTTAGTATATTCTGCCACCCTGTGGTTGACCTGGCAAAATAATTCTGAAAAAAAATTACAAGGATCAAGTCTGTGTGCTATATACAGTCACATCTTCAACATGAAAGGTATTTCAACACATGACAGCTTTAAAATATTGCCGGGGACAAAGCAAAAACCTAGTAAACTTAGCCCTCATTTGTGACATGTCACATATTTTGAAAGATATATATCAGAAACATTTCCTATCTTTTTCTTTAACTTGGTCAGAATAGACAATTTAAGTTGACACAGAAATCACACTTTTCCTCACCCTCCCTTTGCCCCCCCTCTCCGCCCCATATAAGCTGGAGAATGCCATTAGTTTAGAGCTGACATTCTCTGTGTTGTGTTCCAGCACAGCAATGCTAGGGTTGCATGTGTTGCGCAGGTAGCAGCAAGAAGAAGAGAGACACACATGGTTTCAAGGGAGCTAAGTGCTTTAGCAGCAATAACCAAAAAATGACTTAGTCAGCATTACTTGTGATGATATTGTGAAGGCCAAGACTATAACAGGGTTAATAAAAGAACTAGATAAATTAATGGAAGATAGGTCCATCAATGGCTATTAGCCAGCAAGGGCAGGGATGGTGTCCCTAGCTTCTGTTTGCCAGAAGCTGGGAATGAGCGACAGGAAATGGATCACCTGATGATTAACTGTTCTGTTCATTCCCTCTCGGGTACCTAGCATTGGCCACTGTTGGTAGACAGGATACTGGGCTAGATGGACCTTTGGTCTGACTCAATGTGGCCGTTCTTATGTTTTTGTGTTCTTGCTTCCAAGTGCAGCATGCCCTACAGTGTTAACTCCTAAAATGCTTTCAATTACAGTTGGTCCTTGGCAATACACATAACTGCCAGGGAATCACAATTGTGCCAAACAGTCTCCTCACTTTGATGGGATTTTGATCTTTAAATTACGTATTTTGAAAATAATGTCATTTGAGATAATTTTGTAGTTCAACTATGCTGAAAGGGTTAACTAAAATTTAATATGGCTGTAAGCCTAAGCTGGGAATGCAATATTTTACTACTACTTGTTAACAGTTGCCCTGTTTAAACAGATTAAACTACTTTGCAGAGTACCCCCCAATATTGATTTCATAGCCCCAAGTGTCCAAATCTATTAATGACATGCATCCACAGTACCTTACTCCTATTTGATAAAACATTCCTGCACTGCTACATGTGGTAATTATTATCCTGAACCGTGATGCATTCCAAATATCGTCACCATCTTTGCAGTAAAGTTTTACTGTATCACTGATTGTCTGAAAACACAAGACACTTATTTACTACAGGTATTTTTTATAAAACCTCCACACACCAAGCTCATGATGTGTAAGTTCTAGAGGCTAGCTTGAAGTTCAAAACCACTAAAGATTTTATGCACAAAATTATTTTAATAAGATTTTATTTTAGAAGCTTTAAGTATTTCTTGGACCCAGCAATGCACTTTGAGGTAAGTTTTTCCTGAGTTTGCCCAAACAAGGAGGAGGAATGCAAAATAAACCGCTTTATTTTTACTACAAAAAATAAGACTATTTTCTTTATTCTTAGTTTTGTAAGATCAAATTTGAACATATGTACAACCAGGACACAGCACAAATAGAAACTGTCAAAAAGGGCTGTGAAGATAGTCCATATCTCCCTTTGTAAATAAATTTAGACTTCATTAGTTTGGAAAAAAATAAGGGCTTGTCTACATGATGGTGTAATGTGTTCTTTGGGGGTGTGATTTCTAAAGTGCACTAATATGTAGTGCATTAATTAGTCTGTGTAGACCCTGCTGATATGCACTAAAGGTTCCCTAGTGAACACTACATTAAAGCACACTAGGGAATCTTTTATGCATACCAGCAGGGTCTACATGGACCAATTAATGCTCAATATGTTAGTGCCCTTCAGAAATAATACCCTCAAAGGGCACATTGCCCCTCCATGTAAGGACAAGCCCTAAGAGGAGATGTACATAAAACAATGACCGTCAAAGAAAAGATCAATTGCTCTGTGACAACACAAGAACACAACATTAAAGGATGAAAAAAACATGTAAAGCCAACTTAATAAGACAAAATGAAAACCACACAAACAGTGCCAACAAAAAATATTTTTTTTTAAATGCAATGAATAATTGACCATTGGAAAATTCCTGCTGCATATTATTTGACCAAATAAACTTAGTAAAATTAAAAAGAAGAATTCATAAAGAAAAAACCCATCAGCAGCATCACTATTTAGGACAAAATGACAAGGGTTGTCATTACTTCTGTTTCAGGGCATGGCGAGGTGCAGGATTTTAGGCATCCAATATAAGTCACAACTCAAACCAGGATACCCACTACTGCAGATAGACCATTAGTCTGTTCTGGTACGGACGTTCTGGTGTTATGAACGTAACCGAAGAAATGATTAAAATAAGTAAATAAATGTGTATGTTACTGTGACACTCTCAGGAAGCAAATTAAGATTTACTGGAAGCTGGGCCATGGTAAGAGCTGCCCAAGGTACCCGGGCCACTGTGGGGAACCCTGGACCCTCCACCTGCCCTGGGTGGCGCACCCTGGGTGGCAGGGATGTGGCCTAGGGGCTGTTCTCACCCACCGCCCAAGTGGAAGGCCCGGGGCTCCCCACAGTTTTCTGGGTGGCTCTTACCAGCCTAGGGCAGTGGTCCCCAAACTGTGGGGCACACCCCCTCAGGGGGGCAGAGAGGAACATATGGGGGGCATGGCAGGGCCCAAATCAGCCCCGGGGGGTGGGGGGGAGAAGAGACCACTGCCCAGCCACACCTCTGGCCCCCAGTTCCTGCAAGGGGAGAGGGAGGTTGGGGGGGGGGGTGGAGGCATGACTGAAAAAGCTTGGGGACCCCAGCCTAAGGTGACCATATGTCCCATTTTGGCCCCAGATGTCCCGACTCTTTTGGCAAAACTGGGCATTTGTCCCATTTGCGCTTGCCAACCAGTTTTGCCAAAAAGGGGGTCGGGGAGGTGGTGAGCAATGGGGCTCAGGCCAGTCCTGCACGGGGCAAGAGGGGGACTTGGGCTACTGGCTTGGACCAGCTCAGGAGGCAGGAGAAAGGCTTGGACCAGCTCTGTGTGGGATGGGGGACGGAGGGGTATATGCTCACCCTACCCCAGGCTCCGTCTTCCGGCCTGCCCAGGGCCTCAAGGGGAAGAGGAGCAGGGCGGAGGGACCCTGGGGGGCAGTGTTCCCTCTAGTTTTTCCCACGCAGGTGCAGAATGACCCATCACCTCCATATTGGTGCACATAACAAAATTCATGTGGAGGGGGTAGAGCTAAGGGTTTGGAGTGTGGGAGGGAGTTCAGAGCTGGGTCAAAAGGTGGAGGTGGGATGGGAGTGCAGGTTCTGGGGATGAGTTCTGGGAATGAGGGGCTCAGGGCTGGGTCAGCGGTTTGGCGTACGGGGAGGTGCTGGATCTGGCTTGGGGTGCAGGCTCTGGGGTGGGGCCGGGGATGAGGTGTTTGGGGTGCAGGCTGCCCCAGGGCTATGGTGGGGAGAGAAGATTCCCCCCAGCTTTCACCCCCTGCAGCAGCACCTGGGCTGGGGGGGAGAGGTGCCTCTCTCCCAGTCGCAGCAGGTCTGGGTCGGGCTGGGATCGGGGAGGGGCGCCTCTCCCCCAGCCTCGGCAGGTCCGGGGCTGGGTTGGGATGCCTCTGCCCCAGCTGATCTGGGGCTGGTAGGGAGAGGCGCCTACCTCCGCCGTGGCAGGTCCTTGGCTGGGGAAGAGGCACCTCCCCCCGCCACCGGACACACTGTACCTCAGAGTGCCACCCTGAAACTCCCATATTCACCATTGTCATATAATTAGGATACGTTTCATACAAAATATGCTTTCTGAGGTATCATTTTAAAACTCTTGATCTGTTGATCATTAATATCCTGTTGGATTGTATGGGCTATCACTGTATGTGAAGTTACGAAGTTTTGCTATGTATGTGTTACTAAAATATGTTCTGAAGATGGGAACACCCACAAACAGCCTTTCAGGTACAACTATGGATTAGCCAGACAGCGGTTAATGGCTCAGCCAGACAGCGGTTAATGGCTCATCAACACCCATCAAGGAAAGAATCCATTATCCCAGAAACTGTATACAATGGAGACTTCTCAGAGAGAACACACAGACAATGGAGACTGCTCGACCAATAGGGGCAGACCCTTACATCACAAACATAGATCTTTGCAGCAAGCTGGAAGAAACTATAAAAGGAGGGGAAGTGACATCGTTACTGGACCTCTCTTCCCCGCAACTCAATACCTGGAAGAAATGCCTGTTGGATAAAGACTTTGAACTAAGGAGGCTAGCCCCAGGCTGGAAAAGAGTCCCAGCCTACATGTTGAGGATCTGTAACCTGCTTGCACCATCTGTCAGGGTGAGAGACTGCTTGATTCAAATCCTGTTTAAATGTGTAGAAGTCAGATTTAAAATTTATTTTTGTTTCTTAAATGTCCAACTTTGATCTCTATGGTTGCTATTTATATTCATTTAAAATTTATTTCTGTAGTTAATAAATCTGTTTTATATTTTACCTAAAACAATGTGCTGTTTTTCCCCTTTAAGTGCTTGGGAAATCTCAGCTCAGTCTACAAAGGCTAGTGTGTGTCCTCTCCACATCGAGGGAGATATGGACTGGGTAATGAACTTACACTGATCAGGCTTTAGACCAGGGCAAGATGGGACAGTTCTGAGGTGCAGCAAGACTGGGAAGGAGCTGGGGGGAGCCTCTCTATTGTTGATTCATCAGCGGCTGGCAAAGCATCCATGTAACTCAGTTGGGTGTGTCCCTGCCTGTGGATGTCTGTGTAAATGCAAAACCGGTCAGAGGTTTGTGGCTTAACAACAGCATCACAGGGTGACAGGGATACCTAGGCTGGTGGGACAGAGGGCTCAGCGGTCCCACGGTCCAGGTTGCACCCCGGGAACGCTGTCTCAGTTACATACATACAACTCAATGCATTATGGAGCAGATTCTATCACCCTTTTTAACACTGAGTAGTATCTTACTGTTTGAAGTAGTCCTGTTGACATAAATGGCCTACTTGCAGAAAAAAAGCATTACACAATGAGTTTAAGTATAGGCTCAAATTCTAGCAACTCGTTTACCACAATTGATGTATTTTCCCCAATTGTTTATCTAGTGAATTATTTTTAACCCTAAAAATATAAATAGTATTTTCCTCAGTGAGTCTAACAAACAGAGGAAAGTCCTAAGAGTAACATTTTAAGATTAAAAATATGCATCCTTTTTTAGTATTTTAATTTAAAAGTTTTTACAAAATTTACCTCTTCACACCTGCAGCTAGCATTAACTCTGACCATAGCTCCTGGTTTTAGGAGGTTACTATCATGCAGTCGTAAGCAAACTAAATCCGTTGCACTGTTGGATGGTGCACAGACCAAAATTCGACTGTCTGGTAAAGTATAATGTACCTGCATTTTAAAAAAAGTGCAGCTTTTAAAAACATTTCATTTGGAAAAACTATATTCATCACAAATAAAGCAAGCACATATTTCAAATATTTAATATAATTCAGAATTATTTAGAATACAATTACAAATGTTTCTACATTTGTCATGTTGCAGTTCAGTCAAATCTCAAGGAAACATCTTTGCCTAGACTGGAAATTCATTCATCATCATCAGATTGAAACATACACACCATGAATGCAGGGTATGCGCTTTTAAAGCAGTGGTTAAATACTGTTCACTGGGGCTTTAAACAAAAATACTGAATTAAAAAACTGACTATATGTTGTTTATGAACACAAGCTTGTACAGAAGTCTTCTCTTGGATTTATTTTCACAAGGAGAGAGTTGAACTGAAATACCCTCTAAGTGTTAGCATGTTTTTTTAAAAGCTATTTTTAGTTTTGATTATAAGTATTTGAGGCAATTCCAGATGATTATTGTTTTGCTTGTTTGTTCACTATTACCTGTAAGATAGCTTCTATTATTGTTACAGTTTTTCCAGTTCCCGGTGGTCCGAAGAGAATATAAGGAGTTGGACGGCATTCACCACTAAGTATCCTCTTCACTGCTAATTTCTGATGCTCATTCAGCACAGGATTGAAAAATTCACAGTCTCTCTGTTCAGGTGTCATGATTCCATTGACTATACTCAAAACAGATGAGCAGTACAAATACACAAGGAGAGGGTTTTTTTTTTAATTAGTATTTCAGTTAAACAGATTTTGATTTAATGTGATCTATACTTATATTATAAATATTTTAAAAAGATAGCGATAGCTAAAAATTTATCTGACAACTCTTTAAATTCCCAATCTCAAGTAATAACAATTAAAATAGTAAAACAGGGCCTTCAGTTTTAAAGGTGCAAGGAGCCATTCATAGATTTTTAAGGCCAGAAAGGACCACAATAATAATCTAGTCTTACCTCCTACATAACACAGGCCAAAGAACCTCACTCCAGTGAACTCTACATCAAGCCCATACATAACTTCAGTTTGACCTTTAGAGCATATCTTCAAGAAGGACATCCAAGTCTTGATTTAAAGACTTCACATGACGAAGATTCTGCCATATTCCTAAGTAAGCTGTTCCAATGATTAATTATCCTCAACATTAAAATGTGTGCCTTACTTCTGGTGAGAATTTGTCTAGCTTCAGCTTCCCACTGTTGGATCTCATTATGCTTTTTCCCCCCCACTAAAGCGTCATCTATAAGAAATTACTTCCTCACATAGATACTTGTAGACTATGATCAAGTAACCTCTTAGCTTTCTCTCAGATAAATTAATTAATTTGAGGTTCTTAAATCTTTCACTCTAAGGTATGTATTCCAGACCTCCAATCATTCTTGCAGCTCTTCTTTTCTGAAACTTTTCAACATCCTTTTTGAAGCGTGAGCACGAAAACTGGACACAGTATTCTAGTAATGCTGTATAACGAGGTAATGCTTCTTCTCTACTTCTAACTTATTTTTTCCCTACTTATGCATCCAAGGATCACGTTCACCTCTGAGCTATATCATCACATTGTGAACTCACGTTCAGTTAACTATCTACCATGACCCTTAAGTCCTTTTCAGTGTCACTCCATTCCATGATTCAGTCAACCATCTTGTAAGTATGACCTACAGTCTTTTCTTCTAGATAGAAGTATGACTTTGCACTTGACTGTATTAAAACATATAGTTCAAATGTTCCAACCTTACCAAATGATTGGTAACATCTGGATCATTCTGGATAATTGACCTGTCCCCATCACTATTTACTAGGGCTATTGATTAAATCACAATTAACTCACGCGATTAACTAAAAAATTTTTTTTAAACAAACAAACAAACAAAAAACCCCACCCAGATCTTGGTACATTGAGGAAGTTCTAGAGGACTGTAAAAAAGCTAATATTTATATTTTATCTTTTTTTTTCCACATTGATAGAATATTGAGAAAGCTTAGCATTGGGCCAAGAACAGATCTCTGCAGGATCCCACTAAAAATACCCCCAATGGATAATTATTCTCATTTGCAATCTTTTGTTAACCAGTTTTTAATTCATTTAATAAGGGCTACATAGATTTTGTATAGTGCTCATTTAAAAAAAATCAGAATGGCCTGTGAGACTATGGCAAAGGCCCTAGAGAAGTCCAAGTATCTCACATGAACAGTTACCTTTATCAACCAACCTTGTAATCTCATCTAAAATTATATCAAGTTTGTTTGATGAGACCTATTTTCTATTTAAAAAACCCATATTGATTGGCATTAATTACATGACAATTCTTTAATTATTTACTGACTGTGTCCCGTAACAGCTTTTCCATGATTTTGCCTGGGACAGATGTTAGGCCAAACAACCCTTTTTAAATATTAGCTTTTTTCCAGTCCTCTGGAACTTCCTCAACATACCAAGATCTGGGTGGTTTTTTTGGTTGTTTGTTTAAAAACCACATACACACACACACACACACACACTCCATCCTCCAAACCAGTTTACCAGTGCAACTGTCAAATCCAAAACATCAGTACAAGATGGAAAGAAAATATTAAAACATACTCAGTTTACTTGTCTGTGTAGCAACAGTCACCATTCGAGGCACAGCCACTATGTTTCTCTCCTTTGGCACCATGCATTTTGTTTGCTCATTTTGCATTTTCTTTTTCTGAAAAGAGCACTACAGAAGACAGACAGACAGACAGACAGACAGACACACACACACACACACACACACACACAAAAATCAAGGGTAAGCACGGCTATAACCGTACAGTAACTATTCTCTCTTGGAAATGCTTTTAAGACAGTTAGAAATGTTTAGCATTTCCTCCCATTTAACTGCATATCAACTGAAAAAGTGGGGGGGGGGAGGGAAGAGGGGGAGAGGGAGACGGACAAAGAGGGAAGAAAAAACCTAGACAAATACCCTCACATCCTACTTGAACAAAAGAAAAAAAAAGTTAACTCGTGACACCTTCATCTTAAAACACTGTTGCTAATTGCACAGATATTCTGCAGATTTGGATGAGGCTTCAAAAGTTAGCATTGGTTTGTTTTTTTCCCCTATGAGAACTGCCAGTATGTACATTTTTGGCTATTTTAAAGGAATATCCACCTCTTTTTATGATGCGTTTAATCAGGAGTCACATCAAGAGTGGATCAATCGCATCAGGAAGCATAATTATGCCTCACAATAAGGATTCTCGTTTGCTCCTATAGTCAGTATGATTTGCTGCCCAGTATCTATTTTTTTTTTTTTAAAAGGGAGCTTATGAAAACCAGTCTAAAGCAAATCTGGCCACCCAAACTCAGTTTCATAAGCAGTTTCCCTTTCAGAAATCAAAATCACGGACCATAGGTTGACCCACTCGAAGTACTGAACTGTGAAACAAGATCTTCACCACCAGAAGGAAAACATCATAAATACACCAGACATCATAATGCATTCACTGTTGTGCTGTGGTCCTCTCTAAGACTATATCTGCAGTAGCTAACTGTTGCCATTTAAGTGTAAAAGATTATAAGAAATACATTTATAGTAGATTTACCATGTCTTTCTTCTTGGTATACTGTTCATGATCATCAGCAACAGTATGACATCCCATATTATTCCAAGTCTTGACAACTTGTGGGGATTGTAAAACCAGAGTATCTGGAAATAACACTTTGGGTTTAAGGAAGGGGAAAGAGAAAAAGAGCAAAGTTCTGAAAATGCATTTTACATGGCTCTATCAATATAGCTACATTAAGATACTTGCTGTTAATGTTTAATTATAACTGAAACATCAGTTTCTTTCCTTGCACTTGAATTAGATGTGTCCAATTTATGAGAATTTGATGTAAAAACCTTAGGTATGGTGAGGTAGGAATTGGAAGGTAAAATTGAAGTCCATATTCACATTTCTGTAGGCTGTAGAGCTCATCAGAAATGTGCAACTCTTTTCAATAAAGAGGCCATTATATTTAGCCAACTCTAACAGAGGAGGATTACATAAAAAGTTAAAAGTTGAAAGCAGGAATTCTGCATCTTCCCTATATTCCTCCTGCATTTTTCCCAATTTACCCAAACTGGGAAGTCCTACAGAACTCTTTCACATTGTGCGAAACATAGTGGCACCAGTAGTTAGAAATTGATTAGATTTGTTAGTTTTAATTGGAGTCAAACTGCTTTCCTCATGTATAGACACCACAGAGAGGAAATCAGATTTCATAGTGGTTGCTCTGTGACAAAGGATTGCTACTTTCTGGACAAAGATATGGGGTAATTTAGCTGAATGGATAGAAGCCCCAGAGAAACACTGCGTTTTTAAATCTGACCAGAAGAGTACAGTACATTAACTTCACATCAGTGTTTACTGAAGGGGAGGAAAAATGCCATAGCCCATTGGAAGGTTACCTTTTTCACCCAGATAGATGCCTTGTTCAACTGCAAACTGGCATCGCCTGCTGGTAGTCCTGTCAACAGAATAGCAATAGTGTGGATTAAACTAAAAACGAAAGTTTCCATAGAATACAGCAATACTCACTTCCTCTCTGAGTCAATGCTATATATCAAAGACTTAAATGAGACATGAAGCCTCTATAACATCATAACAGG